AAAAAAAAAAAAAAAAAAAAAAAAAAAAAAAAAAAATTGGAGTCATCCAGCTCATACGAATTGGATAGAATGCAATTACCAGGTCAGGGACTCACAGAGTAGACTGTGTCAGGGTAAAAGCAAGCCAGAACAAGAAAAAACACGGTCATGCGAATCAAAATGAAAAAGTGACCTTCTTTCCTGTAGATGTTACCCGACCCTGAGTAATCAAACAAGTAAAGAAAACGAAATCTTGGTTTTTTTTTTTAATATGTTTCAGTGTGAGGGAGAATGATTATCCTTGGATTCGATGAAACGAAGTAATCGACCTAATTCTTCAGCCCTGCTGAAATCAGGTTGAGGCAGGCAAAAACAAATTTCGTTAAGGAAAGGCAGGCAGAAGTAAAACTCGACAGCTCGGCAGTCTGAATTCTGAAATTCGTTGAGCTTGCTGACTAAGTGTCGTCGAACGAACTTTGTTTCCCCCCCGAGAAGTTCGGCGTGAAATTCAATTTAATTGTCAAGTTCAACAACAAACTACTCATTCGTTCCAAAATGTTCGGATTCTCAAATATCCACTTGTTCATTGCACTTTTAATCCTCGCGGTCTTCAATGATTCCATCATGGTTTCTGCTCGTGAGTTTTTCGTCTTATTTTTTTCACGTTATTTGGCATTAGAAGTTGCTATTCAATACTTCGAAACATTTAATACAGCAAGCAGTCTATAGTTAGTTAGATTAGTGTGGACAAAAGCAGGAGATTTTTTTCTTAATTGAATTTAATCGAGGTAAGAAAGTACAATATAGCAATACTGTAATTTTTTTTCGTTCCAGACCCATCTCGTGCAATCAAAAAAAGACCAAGTGACACCTCGTCAGCATCTCGACAGCGACGGTTGACAAGAATGACAACAGAGGACCAGGATGCCGCATTCCTGGCTGTGGTTTCTGCCAATTTTAAAAACGCTGGTCCTGAGCCGGTTTATTCTGGTTCCATCATCTCACCCAAGTATAAGAAGTATTCACAAAATTTCCAACCGTTTTTTTATCATTGGAAGGACTATACCAAGGTTATGTAGTATTTGTACTACTTTCCTCATGTGAAATAATTCACTTTGTTTAATGTTCAATTTTTTAGAATTTAAATTTCGAATTCATGCTGTGGATAAAATAATTCGGGCTTCGTTTTGGGGGGAAGGGGGGTTTCATTTTTCAAAGCAGCAAAAACCAGTTATTTTAGAGCTTGAACGGAAATAGTTCTCGAGATGAAAAAATGTTCGGAATAATGCGCTTTCAATTTACTTTCCGGATATATGCATAAACCGCAAAATCGGAGTCGCAAAAATGTTCAAGAATAATCAAGCTGATTGATGTCCACCTCCACTGAGAGGAAAAATTCGTCTAATTTCGGCTAAATTCAATGGGATTTGAAAAATATTTTGAAACCCAAAGGCGAAACAGAACAAGCCGTAATCTTTCATCATTTAATGCGGACTTTTGATGAGTGTTCGTGTTTTCATTGGAAATTTCATAATATGGCTCGACTTCGTCTTATCTACATTTTAGAGAAAAAAGGCTGATTGGATGAAAAAAAAATTCTCAGGATTTTCCGAGCAATTATCGTCACATTCATCCACACATGTTGAGATAATCATTCGGATTCACTCGAATCTTTGAAAAATGAAAAAATACAATCCAAGAATGCAATCCAGCCGCTTCGTAGTTGGATAAGTTTGAGATAATTTCTGCCTTACGAACTCGGCAGAAAATGTTTACTCGTATTTACTGGTTCGCGAAATGTTTTTTTATCATTATCCGTGTTCCGTTGGTTTTCGGAGCTTTTGAATTAAATTTCAATGCACATCACTAAAAGTATGCCTCTTTTTAATACCAAAAAAATGTCAGGTGTTCTGATATTTCTTCTTCTTTTTGCATCTTTTTTGGGGGAACTTTCTTTATTAATTGGACTCATTCCGATTTAAACTTGCAATCGGGTCGCATCACAACCATACGCATGCATATTTTTTTTCTGCCCCCGTCAATTCATTTTTACGAAACAAGCTCACAGTAAATCTGAAATAAATGGCATTCAAAAAAGGAATCACCTCGTCTTTCTTTGAAGGACCACTAAAGCTGCTATACTGAAATAAAATCATGAATGTACTAACTCACACACAAACCAACAAAAGTTTATGTATTTTTTTTAAATTTTTCCTTTCAGATGCGTGCTGACATACTTCGACCAACTGACTGAAAAGTTTTGGGAACCGACTGGTCAGATTGTTGATGGCGCAACTCTTACAGCCGGTGTCCAATCGAGTGCTCGGCCTACTGATATTCAAACCCGGTTTGCGCCAATTGCGAACATCGTGCCATTTCCGGGACAAACGCCGGAAAGCCGAAATGACGTCAACTCTTTGTTCAGAAACAGTATGGCCCTGGTGAAAGTCGAACAGGCATTCATCCTGGGAACAGGCGTAAAGAGCATAAAAATTGCCAGAAACGTCGGCCCCAGTTTGTTGAATGTGAACAATCTGGGTATTTACACCCACATCATCACGAATAAAGGTGAGTTTGATTATTTCTTGCGATGATAAATTTGTATATTTCATCATGGTGACTTCAGAAATCGTTTTTTGACATTCATGGTAATACTCTATTATTTGATTACTTAGAAATGTTCGATAATATTATGGGTTAAATTCCATCTGATATTCCTGTATATTCAGCGCTGATAAAAAAATTTAGAAAATAAAATCTGGAGAAAGGAATGCAAAATTGCGGGAAAAAATAAACAGCGCGAACCACCCATTTATCATACCAACATTCAATTTTCTTTCCGTGGGATGTTTTTTTTCAGATAAGTCCAGAAGAATTCAACCTTTAATTGAATGAGGATTAGATTGATTCTAAAAGTACACAAAAATTGTTTCAATAATAATCGTTGTACCCATTGAAGCTGGGTAACTTGAGCCTCCCTGAGTTTAATTTTTTCAAGTCTTCTTTTACAGTTGACATGGGAAATAAAAAGGACATACAAACATAACTTGATGTGTTTTTAAAGGAAGGGAGAGACTAATTCGCAAATGAATCCTTGAACCCCAATTTAAGCTTCTTGTCAACTCAACCCTTGTGCAGTGAAGTTGGGATATTTTTGAAAAATTGTTTTTTACTGAGCAAAGGAAATTTGAAAAAATCCTGCCTTTGTTTCAACACCTAAGTCAAGAAAAATTCCAATATTTTTTTTCCTAAACCTGCAGAAAATTTTGCATGAAAAATAAAAAATAAAATCCCTCACTGGGTGGCATTTTTCCTTGGATTCCTGACATGGTAATCCCATGTCATGAATCCAGAAAGTTTCCTGAAAACGATAAAAAACTGGCAAGCTGGATTTTTTCCAATATGTATGCCTGCTCAACCTCTGACCATGGGTCAAACTAAAATGCGCCACCCCCAAAAAAAAATAACACAACTCCCCTGTGCAATAGAGAAAAGAAACCTCTGCCATCCAAGGGTTAAGAAAAAATTGAAGACCCAGATGATTGCCATTTACAATTTCCTGTGATTCTTCTATGTTTCCCACTACAACAAAAATGCTTGTTTCCCTAATTCAAAACCTCCCAAATAAGTCAAATTTTTTGCTAGTCCCTTCAAATTAGACTTGGAGAGGTTTGACTGGTGTATTTGATTTTAACCAGCAAGTACAGTACATAAATATATCGACTTTGATTTCCATGTTATTTTGCCCTATATGCAGTCACCTTAGCTGCAGCTACAAAAAAGGCAAATGCATCTGTCGAAGGTGTGGAGTGCCCAAAATCCATCCCAAGATACATAGGTTCAGTCAATACTACGGTCACCTCATGCGTCACAGTCGAACCACTTGACAGCTCATCATGCGTCCAGGTATTTAAAAAAAAAATGGGTTTCGTCAAAAATAAAATTCTTCTTCTCAACAGAATCAGAGCTCAGTTTTTGCCATACTTATTGTATAATATTTTCAGTTGCCAGAAGGATCCGCAGCTGTCCTCCGAGGATCCGACGACACACTCTACTTGACAGCGATGACCAAAGGGGATATTTGCAAAACGAGTCCCACCACTGTTTTCCTTGGATCATCCATGGCATTCTCGGATCACTTGGACACGATTTGCAACGAACCCGATGTCGACTGCGCAGAAGCAAAATACCGATTTGCGAGGAGAAAATTAAATGCTGTACTGTACTGAGAAATTAAGTACGGCAAATGGATCTGGCACAACCAGCGCCACCGCCTTCTTTTCCAGAGCTCAATCTTTAAGACCACATATGATTAAAAAGGATGAATTTCTGGCAGCCATTTTGAAAATTAAATTCATTTTGAAGTTTAAAGACACGAGGGCAGCAGTTGGAAGGATAATAACTTCAGGGGTGCCACTGAGTCTTCGACAGAGGTTAATATGTCTTTAAAATACTCATGTATTCATTCCAAAAGTTTTCAGAGAGGAAAATGCTGCAGAAACTCATTTGGCAACTGAAAAAATCCTTATTTTGACGTTCATTTACCGGATGTTGAACAATTAATGCAGGCAAACAAAAGAATCCGCGGGCCAAGGAATAGTATAGAAACATTAATCCTGGCACTACTATTTGGCCGTTTTGAACTCTTAATTTGTCAGGACTATGAGGGAAAAAAAACTTGTTGTACGTTGTTTTCATGCATTTTTCACTTCAATGCACGTGAAAAGATGGTGGATGAGTTAGCAAAGAGTTTTGGAGCTGATCCAAAACGGTTGTGCGCAAATAAAATCATTACAACTCCGAATTGCCTGTCCATGTCATTTTCCATCGATTCGCTTTGATTTCATATGACTTGTTCCCAAACTATAAATGAACTTATCGCTGATATAAAAATATACATATATACCTGAAAAACATTAACAATACTCAACACAAGTATAGTGAGGCTGCTTAGAAACAAAAACTAGAGCATAAGCAGCAAAGTTCCTAAGAGACGTACATTCCACGACCATTTTGCATTCATTTGGCGAAAATCTTCATTGGGAAAACTACTCAGAAGAAGAAGAAAAAATAAATGACAAGGCAGCCATTTTATTGGAAAAATAATAAATACAATAACGACAGTAATGGAAATCTAGGTTTAAATTTGAAGGAAAATTGAAATCCAGGCCAAATTTTCATTGTTTCTGTGATTCTAATTTTGCTGTCGACCATTTTCTCAGGGAAATCACTAGTGGCTGACGTTCTTTCCATTTTCTGGACTTGAAGAAATGAATATTTGTGCTACCTTTAGACGCACAGATCATATTGCGAATTTCTATCGGGAAAGCAAAAACCACGGAGAGTTTAATTGCCAATGAAAACAAAATCCATGAAATTATTTATGGTATCTCAAGAGAAAACTGTTCATGGAACGATGATCGATTTCCAGGGTTTTTTTCTTCTTATGTTCCTTTGCTTGGTAACTGCTGAAAATAAAATTATTATCTCTATTGCATTTTTATCAGCATGTTTCATATTCTCTTCTTCCGTACATTGGGTTCCTGCTGCTTGAAAATTGATTAAGATTGCGATAAATTTGCTTTCCGTTCTACTCTTCGGCTATCCCCTGTTCATTCCTCTTTTTTTCATTCAACTTTTGAATACAAATAGCGCATCTGTTTTTTTCTCTCGTATGCTTCATTCGTGTAAAATAAAAAAGACAACGCCTCATTTTTTTTCAAAAGCAAAACTCAGTTTTTATTCCAAGATCTGACATTACATAATAGTGAAAACATCTCAAAAAACAAAATTGGATGTACGTAACTGCTTCCAGTGCTTGACAAAATCTCAATTCCAGTCACACCAACGTATCAGCAGCGGAAATCATCCATCCAAACGGTACTCTTTCATTCTCAAACTAGCACATCAGCACCATTTTCAACCACTGAAACAGAAGGTTGATAGTATTCAGTCAGTCAGGTCATATACAGTGTAGAAAAGGGCTCTTACACAATTTTAGATAATAAAAAAAACCGACTATACCAAGTAAATTATTGCCGGAAAGGATTTTTGGAATTTTTTATTCTAAAATATCGGATTCCATTAAAAATAAGATAAATTGGTCACACATAGTAAAAAAAAACACAGAAACATCCGGAATCCGGCTTGAAAAATAGTTTTTAACCTTGCTCCATCAGATTACGAATTCTGAAAGCAGATAAAACTTCTCACTCACCTCATCTTGTCTGATGTTCAGGGTGTTGGGTTGAGTCAATTGACGACGTTCGAACAATCCTGTCGGAAAAATAAACGTAAGAGTCAAATCATTCTAGAAAAAATGAAGAAATGTAGATGGAATTCCCTTTTTGTGGTAACATATAATGATGATGATATAATGATGATATAACATACTGTAGTGCAGTATTTTACTTTGTTGTTGGGAGCGAGCAGCAGCATCTAGCCAGACACTCGCAAGAAAACGCGAGCTTCGTTCATAGGTGTCGCTCTCACCCCATTTGATCGCACTTTCGCACACGTCAGTCGAGTAACTTTACTGCACTTTTATACAGCTCGCGCGCAATTAATGAGAAAAAAATGTACAGCTAAAACAACCGAGTAATGTACAGTACAGTATTTACGCTCTGTAAAGACTAAAGAAAATCGAGATTTGCTCACCAAAAGCCATGGATAATTTCAGCACCGCTGAAACAAAATCTCCGAACCGGAGCGTTCCATCTTTTCGTGTGTACCGCATGGCGATCACCGACAAAATCTCTCTGCTCAGTTGGTAACCTGTTCCGAATAAAAAAAAAGATACAATGGCTTTTTCGCAAAGTATACTTCGTCTGAAAAGGAATAATCTGGATTTTCTGAAATGGTTCAGAGTCCACGCTCGATTGATGCATATCCTCAATGGATACCTCAACTATGTCCGTCGTGTTATAGCTCGTCTGTGCAACAAAATTCTCACCGCATACATTTCATGTGCTACGATAAAAGTAAGACGATTCCTGCAAGCAAAACTTGGTTCTAAAATTTTACCTGATCCGCTTATTTACTGATATCCGTTAAAAACCATGACATTATGCAAGCTTCGGAAATCCGTGCCATCATAAAAAATCATCAATTGTCTTTGGAAACTTATAGAATATATCATACGTGAAAAAATCAAGGAAAAATGTGGGAAGGGAATTCAGCAATCAATTTCTACATCAAAAATCCTTAGTAAATTTTTTTGCATTCCTCTTTTCATGCCACAAAAACGCACGCAAAAATACGAATGCAGATACTGCAGATTACTCGTTATCTGACATCAATCCTCTACATTCGGCTTGTTACGAAAAATAAAATCTGCTTCCGGAAATGAAATCCATTCGAAAAAGTTAACTGACGTATTGACCCTCGTTTATACCCGAACTCTTTTTCGCAGCTTAAATCGTGCGAAAAAATCGATTTCTGATGCATACATTTTGTACCTTAAATTTTCTAGGCATTACATTTTTTTAGCCAAGGAACATGAAAAACCGTAATTCAAGTTATCCCGCGGAGGATCAGAAAAAAAATGTGTTGAATATATATTACAAGTATCAGAATTCAATGAAGAGACCCTTTCTGAAGTCATAGAGGATCAAGATAAACTGTTGGCCTTATATGATTTCTCATCAAAGATTCTCTCTAGAATGTTCATTCAACTAAACCTTATCTAGAAACAGGCTGAAGACCTTGTGCTTTAAATTGGGTTCAGCAACTGTGGCAATTGCCATAACTCTGGCTTATGCTGCAATTCTTCTTACTGATATTTTGTTTTCAATGTCACGGAAAGAAAGGGGTGTGTGCATACATATCAGTTGTGCAGTTGTACATTGCAGAATGTATTTCCTTTTATTTTGGTATTTTTCTTTTCATTTGGTAAAACAAAATTTCCCATTCTGAAGTGATTGAATTTTTGAATGCATTTGAATGGATTTGGGTTGGGTGCGGAAGGGGTTGGATGTGGGACTGTTGTTGATTGAAATTTGTAAATGCTGAAAAGTGGAAAATTAAGCTTTCTGTTCATTCATTCATATACATGCTTTACATGTGTTGAATATCACATTGAGTGATTCTCTGGACAATGTGTTCTTTTTTTTTAATGCCTCGTCTTTCTGGAAACTTTTAATTTCTCCATCAGGTATTCTCTCTTATCTCAAACTCACCAAAGATGAGCACGACCACGCCTATATTTTTCGTTTGTTTATAATGAACCAGCCAAAAAATGAAATGGGAAATTCCCCCACGAAAGACTCACCCACGTGTTGCAGGGCATCTTTCAATCTTTCCGCTCGCAAAATCCCCATCTTTTCCTTGGTGTGAGCTCTGAACGCGCCCTGCCACGATTTCAAGCTGACCAGAAAGTCCTTGAAATCCGCAAACTTGAGTCTGCCTCTTCCATCCCGCTGTGCTCAAATAAATCACGAGAAATCAGTCTCTCAAAGGGCATGAAAAGAAAAGTCATGCGAGGTTAAAAAAAACATTTTTGAATAAATGAATACCGCGCCGGGAACCAAATCGTGATTTGCCTGATTGAGTTGAGTCATATTATCAGATTTTTTTTTTCGAGGCAATCATTTTATTTGCATCATTTTTTTTTCTTTCTTGCGGACATACTTCAATTGAATTACCGTAAGTGCTCGAATTCCAACCGAAATATATATTACGAGACACACCTGGTTTTTTGTACTGTACTTCAGAAATGAGAAAAATTTCGCTTGCGATTATTATCAGAAGCAGATTTACAAAATTCATTCTCTCTTTTTCCATCACAAGAGTTCGTCGATTCTATAATGATTTTCCTGGAGTCTCCTTAAACACTTTTAAACACATAACAGGATTCCAAGTATGGTACGCTCTTCAAAAATGAGTGTAAGGTTCTAGTGATCTGGTTAAATGGATTTCAGACTAAATTTTCATTCAAATTATTAACGTTGGTGAATAAGCGCAATCATTCAACCCGCAAATTGAAGACGATTCCTGTTTCTGAAATATCAATATTGCCAATAAAAAAAATTTCCTTTTCATTTTCTTGATTTTGTTGAGGAATGTTATCATGAGTAGTTCAATTTTTTATCTTTTTGTTTCATGAAAAATTTTGAACGTTTATCTTATTATGATCTTATGTTTATCTTATTTTTTCATGAAAAATTTTGAACGACTGCCCAATATTGACCGATTTCTTCAAGAGCCAAAAATGAAATTATCAAGGGATGTCGAATGCATGGGAAAATTTATTTTTTAGTTTAATATTAAAATTTAATCATTCCTGGGATTTACGGGCATTTTCCACCGATTATCCAGCTTTATTACATCTCTCGGTCAACGGAAGTTTCGGATAACGCACTTCACTTCGGGTGGAACGAATTAGGTCAATAAACCGAAGCTCTATACTGCGTTTATATGAATCCGGTAAAATTCAGAAAATGACGTTTGGAACTTACATCCAGCGCGATGACGACTTGCCGACATACATCAAGGCTCGCACAGCTTTTCACGTAATCTGCCAAAAAAAAATCCCGACAGAAAAAAAATACAAGCGTTAATTGCGGGTAATTACATGAGCCATCAAAATGATCGAATGAATTCTTCGGAGAAAAAAAAGAGCCAGACACAAGTGTTTAACTGCTGACCGTTGGGTAAGCAGGCGTCCAGCAGTTCTTGTAGCTCGAAGGCATTCACGGTCATGTGCTCATCTGCCAACTGCAAAAACACCGCTTCATACTGACTGAAAGTGCCGCCATTCATCATCGCCGGTGCCTGCCAAAATAAAAATGAGGAAAAGAAGCATTCTCTCATCATTTGATGCTCACTGTACGGTATAAAAACGTATAAAATTTCGAAATTAGCAACATAGACTCAACTGCTGAAGTCCACGAGTTATGAGAGGAAAAATATTAAAATTCGAGATATTTCCAATAAAATCTCGCAATGACTGCGGAATGATTTCAAGGAAACCTCCACTATCGACAAAAATAATTTGTGGGGATCAATAAAATAATATGCGAAAAACAACAGCGTTTATAAAACATTCCCGAAAAGGGGAATAAAACTGACTACATAAAATTTACCACCAGTTGAAATTTTATAAAATAACCTGTGAATTCAGCATCTTCCGCACAAACCTTGCCAAAATTCAAGAGCTTGTTGTGACATGCTCTAAAATTTAATTCTGTTTGATAATCCAAACTATGAATGTTTGGTGGTATGTGAATCACTCGCAACTTCATAAACCCCGAAAATTTTGCGATATTTTTTCTTTCGTATCAAATTTAAAAAAAAACCTATGAAATTTGGTCTGTAAAATATAAATTTGTAAGGTACTGTTATTTCTATCTTTAATACGGAAAGTACAAGGCTGATTATTTTTTGAAAGAAATTGTCAAAAACTGACCAGGATCTGGCCTCAGAAAAATATTTTTCTTCAGGCAACACACTCGGCGAAATTCTCATATATTTTTGCAGGAATAACACGACTGCGAAGACCATTGCTATTAACCACCTCAAATGTACACACAAGTATCAACCTGCGCAGAAAATAGTTTCTTTTACCATTTTAATTTCTGAGCATTATGCAATCACAGTAATTAAAATCGCCTGCAGCAGGGTGGTCAGTGAGACTGGGTTCTTGAATGGAGGAAATTTACAGCTTTGTTGAACCGTAGGATTAAATTTGCGTATCAAAAGACGGATACATGAAACCTTTGCCTCTTTTTTCTATAGTAAAAATGGTGTGTGCCAATAGCACTTGCAAAATCGCTGAAGGTGCGATTGTTCAGCCAGACGGTTTTATAGCTATTTATGAGAAAGCTTAAGCATGCCTCAGGTCTTCGTACTGTAATCGCAATTATTTTTTTTTTGCACTCATGCAAGCATCATAAAGCGTATCTTCCTTTCTGCAGCATCATAAATGTGCAAGTCTTTTGATTTCGGAAGCTATATAAGAGAATTTGTTGCTGAATTTCTGACTTATACGACTTGAGCTTGAAATTCGAACCCGCGAGATTTGCGTTTCTTATTCAACTGTTTAGCCTTTCTATAACATGCATTAATTCTGATGACTGACCTCGAAAATTAATTATCCCTCCACCAGAAGTGAAACCCAAAAAATATACGTGGTACCTCGCAATACGACCATCCTGAAATTTGACGGTCAACTTTGCAGGGATGAGGTTAATTTGCAATTTGACCCTTTCCCCGCAATTCAACCGGCTTCGGCCACTTACTTTTTGCACTTTTTTACTGACAATTTTGAATTTCACAGTGTCTCGCAATTCGAACGCTTCGAAATTTTACCCTAGTTTGGCAAGGGATTAGGGTCAAATTGCGAGGCACCACCTGTACTGTGGTATTTATTGTACAGTACTCAAGAACCACGCGCCATTGGGTCACATGCCCCCAGGGGTTTTTAGTCAATTTCTTTCTTTCTTTACAAAACCGTCCTGCACCTCATTCATGGTGACTTTAAAACTGCAAAAATTTTTGTACTGTATGAAAACACGCAAATTTGAATTTAGACATGAATTGATGCTGAATTCCAGTAATTTTCATTTTTTTCCATTATACAAAACATTTTTCTGTTTAAATTTTGGTCAAAACTTTCCCATCCTTGGGATCAAATACAGTCAAACCCCAATAAGATGCCACCATATGTCCAGAGCAATTTTGGCAGTTTAATGGGGCTGGTGGTTTATTGGATATTTCATTTTAAATTATTTGATCAAAAATACTCAATTTTCCTCCTTCCGTCATAGAGATACAGGTTTTCTAGAAAGTTCAGTAATTTTCCAAAGAGTATTGCTGTGATCAATGGATTACTCTTGCAGAAAATTAATTTTGCTTCATCAATTTATTCAAATTTCAAGATTTTGTCAATATACTGTTCAAATTTTTCAAAAAAATTATCATTCTTCTTTTTTTATTGTTACAAATACAAGATCCTTGACAGAAATTATCATTCTGCCCCAATGTTGGCATTGTAACAAAGACAAAACTAATCGGAAACAGCACTTCTGCTTCATCACTAACGCTGGCAGATGGCATTTGGCATCTTATCCAGGTTTGCTATAGAATTTAACATGCAGGAGATTTGTTTCATTCATATTTTAGGGAGTTGCCAAAGGTGGCACTTTATCAGGGGCATCTTAACGAAGTTTGACTAAAGAATGAACACATGAACTCATAGATTGTTTTTTTTTAATATTTTAATCACCTATGAAAACGCGCAATCGCTTTTCACCACTCAATTTTGAGTAGAAAAAAAAACAGGTGCCTGCTGTGGTACTTGAGTATAAATACCGGCACTGTACTCAATATGGGCAATGTGATTTCACAGCCATCAAAAACGCAATAGCAGAAAAAACAGCCATTAGACAAACACAAAAATGCTATGCTCACAACAAATGGAAGATGTTAAGAAAAGGCAATAAAATCATGGAAAACCCAGATCTTGAATGGGATACACATAACAAATATATAGTTTCAAAAAGCAGACAAGCAATTGATTTACAAACAAATATACCAGAAGATGATCCAGTCAGACAAACCTTAATACAGTGGCCCCCCGCCTAACAGACCTCCCATGTAAGGGATTTTCGCCGAATAGACCAGCTCTGCAAGCAGTTTTTCCTCCCGCCAAACAGACTTCTTTTGGTTTGAAATTAGTGTTGAAAATTGAAATTTTTAATTTTTTATGTAATTGAATTTGTGTAAAGGACTTTTCGTCTAACAGACTCGTCCCTTGCACAAATCAAGTCCATTAGACAGGGGTTGACTGTATACTTACAAATACCAAGAAGCGGTCAGAAACCAAATTTGATGAAATCTTTACTAACATCAATACACAGAAACAATGGACACTGTTCAGTGAACAAAATACTCAACATACTATCAATGAACTACTGGGCACCAGGTAGTAGAAACCTAGCAAAACAAGTAAGACCAGAATGTTTCTATTTTCGAAGAGTGGACACAAAACCATTCAAGGTCCCAATTGCACCACTACCAGACTTTTGTTACACAGGAAACTTGAGTATAAATACGGGCACTGTACTGTACTGCAGTATAACCAAAAAAAAACCCATACCTTCACAATGATGGGCTTGACTAGAGCAGACGGAGTGTCCAGCACTCTCAGCTTGAACAACTTGGCCGAATAGACCCTGAGGGTGAAAGACGCCTCTTCGCCGGGCTCGAAAGTCGTCGGCAAAATGACGTAATGTCCGGCCTCGAGGACGACCCTGGCGCTGACTTGGCGACTGTTGGTGTACTCCGAGTTGAAGAAGGACTTGTGGCGCCGGAAGTAGTCCCTGGTACACGCCACGTACTTCTGATGCGGCACGGAGTCGTCCGTCTGGTTCGAGTTGGTCAGGCGGTACAAGGAGAACCCCACGACTTTGGGTTCCAAGATGGCGTGCTGGCTCACGGACACCACGACTTCTTGCCGCTCGGCCACGCCCAGAAGCATTTGCGGATTCAAGTGAAACGTTTCTGTGCAAGTTGATGAACATGCAAATGAGAAGAAACTCAAAGTATTACCCCTGTATTTACTTGAGTACCATAATGCTACCTCAAGTAAGGTGCGCACAGGGGTTTTTCAGTTGGAAATTTGGCTAAAATCGTATCCCGAGTTAGACGCGCACCTCAATTTTTAGTGAATCTAAAACCGCCAAATTTCGAGAATAACAACAAAAAATTGACTGTAGACATGAATTGAACAAAAATCTGATCAATTTTCAACTTTTTCAGTACAAAAAAGTTTTCTTGTTACATTTTTCCAAATTTCTCCATTATATTCAAGTATAATGCACACATAACTTCCTAAAACATTTTGAAAAATTTGTACCCACTTATGACGCGCACCCCTTTTTTTCTTCTGAAATTTGAGAAAAAATGTGCTCATGGTACTCTAGTAAATATGGTAATAATTTTTGGGTACAGAAGAATACAGATTTCGCCTGCTCCTAAAAAGTTCGGGATCGTATCAATTCGCTTCAATGATGTTGGGGAACCAGAACCCGGGGCCCAGGGACGTCAGGTCCTGGGACCTGAATTCTGGTCCTGTTCCTTTTTGCACCCATTCACCGGATGGACAACTTCTTTGATGCACATTTCTCCCACCAATCGCAGTTGGGAAAAGAAAAGTTGCATGCTTTGGTCAGCTGACCTGACCAAAGCATACAGCTGAAATCCTTTAAAACCCAGCACTCTTCCATTAAAAAAAAATCAGTCCTTTAACCCTTGGGCGGCAAAGTTGGAGTATTTTCTTGAAATTTTGTTGAACCTCAGAGAGGTGAAGAAAAAATTGACACAAAGGAGCTTGAGGGCAAAGTCAAGAATGTTTTTTTTTCCCTGGACACAGAAAAATTTTGCAGGATTCCAGGTAGAGAAGAACTGTTTTTTAAAGTTCAGGATAATGTCAATTTGCATCAATGATGATGTAACATTTACTGGGAATGGTCGATGATTGAGGTTTTAAAGTTGGGAATTCTTGGTCATCGAAGATGCTGCTCATTGCTGAAATAGTTTCTATATTGATTTCCAAGAGTTTATTTTTTCTTCAGCTTACTGGAACTAATTATGCTGACCATACGCTAACCATGAAATTCCTCCAAAAAAATGTCAACCGATTCCAGGGGAATCATGCTGCTTTTGATTTTTATGCACACTTTCATGCACTGAACTTGAACATTTTTACATAATTGATTGAATAAATCTTGGAAGCTGAGAGAATCACTTTCGTTCATCTATTGGCCAAATAATCGCAAAGGATACTCGCTGGCGGATACAAAAAAAAAAGTTATACAGCACCTGAAGAAATATGCTAATTATCTTCCACTCCAATCAAAAATTGGGCGTGGCTCTTGATAACACGTATATTATTGAAATTTAAATTGGAGAAAAACCATTGCCGACTCTAACGTGAATAGAAAAGGATATTAACCTTGAGAAATTTGATGTGTTTTCAATGAAGTATATGCCTTAAAATTATTCTTACTGCTTATTGTGGGGCGTGTCATTGACCAAAAGAGGGCGGTTTTTGTGGGGCACAGAGGGCACGTCCCACGAAACCAGTAAAGTAAAAAACCGCGCGATTATTATAAGTTGTAAGCCTGAATGATTGGAATGCGGCAACGGGGAATTCCTTGGAAGCTCCCGCTGCCAAAAATTGTGCAATTGTAAATCTTGTCTCTTTTCGCGATGAATTATTTTGCATTATGTTCGAAACTTTTGAAGCGTTCAGTTGCTCTCGAGAACCTTTGTCTGTGTGCATTTTGTCCATTTTCCAAGTCCCCATTTCATTCCAACTGTTTGAATTTATTTGAAACTTTTCACTTTACTACGTTCTTGATCATTTGAAATACAATTCTCTTACTTCTTTGGAGTCTTTACCAAAGGGCTCCCTGCCGTGTTCCCCGGCGGATTGTGCATTTTTACTGATTTATTTGATTCACCTATTTATTCAAATTCTTTGTGGGCTCATTGCCCTACACTTATTACAGATGGTGGAAAATATAACAGGCTCCCCATCAAATCGTGGTCCTTTCAATCAGAAAGCCGTTCGGAAATTTCCGCAGATTCAAAAGCCAAAAAAAAATACAACTATCCTCTATAACGCGAAATGCTATTTTGATAATTTTGAGGAGTATCAACTAGAAATGACTAACGATTAGTCCATGACTTATTTCAGAGTGGTATTCCCGAAATATACAAAATTTGAATTAAAAGAAGCAAATTCAAAAGTGTCTTCCGCGTGATAAAAAAAAAAGAAAAAAATAAATGGAGCGGCCGGTCGTGTGCTTGGGTGATTCCAAGCGACTCTTTATAATTAGCGTCGCAATGATCGTCTCGGCAATTTTAATCAGGCATAATTGAAGAGATGCGTAACTCACCAGTGTTGTTACGACATCCGCCAGCTGTCACGCCCTTTTGCCAAACTGCGTGATGAGACCGCATTTGCCAAGCTCGACATCCGTTCAAAGTCTCCTCGTCTTTGCTCGTCTCGTGATCCAAATGCACCATTTCCAAGTGTGTAAATGTTTTCACGAAATCCGGTAAAGACATCCTGATGAATAATTCGAAAATGTCGACATTCATTTCCACGCGACACAAAGTTTGCTCTTCGACGAACAACATAATTCTTGCGAGTATACCGCCCTTGTAAGAAAAAATGAATTTTGCTGCTGAAATCCATAAACGTCTGATGATAGATATTTTTTCAACGGAAAAGCGAAATTGAATTCTGAAGACTTTAAACATGTCTGCGTGTCTCACCCACATTTGGAGAATTTTCTCCACACGACACTGCCACAGAAGTATGGAATTCCTTCAATACTTTGATTCCTTTTGAATAAAAGACTGGGCTCGAAAATTGCTTCACTATTCGTGCTTATTTTTGCTAGATTTTCCTTCTTTTTTTCAATGAAGAAGGCAATGACACTTTCAAAGATTAGGCCACGAATCCGGATAAAACTAGAATCGGCGTAATTTTACCACGTTTTTATGAACTCACTTTCTTGTCTGTCTGTTTGTCCGGATCAAATTTTGAAACTCAAATTTCACTCACTTCCTGACTAGCTAGCAAGCTGAAACTTTCAGGATAGCCTAGAAACTGATGACAATGCAATCTTATGTGAAAAAATTAATTTTAAGAATAATGGTTTTTTAGATTAATTTTTTAATCTACTATAATTATTTTTCTTTCAATCTGGAGATAGTTTGTAAAACCTTCAGCAAGTCAGCATGAAACTTCCTCTTCATGTGGAAACTCAACTTCAGTCTTAGCAGAAAAGGTATTTCATTCTTCTTTCTTTTCAACCATTATTTGACTTGATAATCTTTTTTCCGAATGAGATTCTTTCAACTTGTGCATGACGAAACTGAGTCCGCATTCAAAAGTCAAAACAATTTAATTTCCCTTTTTATTTTTAATTATTATTTTGATCCTTGCCTTACAAGTTTCACTTTTAGCATCGATGGTTCGTGTAGTAACGGTTGAAACATCTAGGCATAATTTGCATAAATTTCTACTGAGCAAGTTTATTGTTTAAGGAATTTATTTGAAAAGAAAACTGAAACTGACCAGAATTCCGCATGCAGCACTCAAACCCATGTAATTTTTCTTTTTTCTTTTTAATTATTATTTTGATCCTGCCTTACAAGTTCCACTTTTAGCACCAATGGTACGTGTACCACCGGTTGAAAAATCTAGTCGTAATTTGTTCAACTTTCTACTAAAAAAGGTTAATTGTTTAAGAGATTAATTTTAAAAAAAACATGAAACTGACCAGAATTCCTCAGGCGCCAAAGCACCGAGTCCGATCCTTTCTTGCTCTTCAGTAGGAACATCGTTCCATGTTGTTGAGCCTCTGGACCATAAACCATCATATAATATGTCATAGTCCAGGTTGTTGTTCATATGTTGAGTCTGGCCCGTGTCTTCAGGAACAGAAGGCAGGGCCAGAAGAACCAGTTGAACGAAGTCACCGTCATATTTTTCCACCTGTACAATAAGGATTCGGATTTTGACGTGAGAACAAACAGTTTAAAGCATCTAGATTTTCGAAGGAATAGTTGGATTTCATATTCAGCTAATGTTACAGAGATATACTCGTAGATCTCCTTTCTTTAAAGATGAAAGAAATTAAGGGTACAAAGATTCGGTTGGGCTACAACCCGGGTGCTTGAGAACACTCTATTCAAAAGTTGATATATTTGCACAAGAGTTTGATCACAATTCGCCAAGTAATGGACTTGCAGAACTGCATTGTACTGAGGTTCAAGAGATAGTGAGGTCCTTGGATGAACCTTTGGTTCAAGAATAGTTTTTTCCTTTCTGGGAATTTTCCACTGAGATTTTAGCATTGATTATATAACATCCGCTATTTGAGAGCTGGAGTACAGTTACCGTTGTTGGTTTCTAAAGATTTGGGAAATTTAAGGACCAGAGGTCTATTTCTGTTCCTTGTGAGAGCTGGGGTGAATCCCAATTCTCACGGAAATATCCAAGGATGAGTTTCGGCAATTGCCAAAACTTCGTCATTTTTATGGCTTGGTCTTTTTGGAATTTGTTGTTATTGTTTTTTCTTTGGAAGATTAAGTTACTTGGGAAGCTGACATGAAAAATTGCTTAGTTCTTTGAAATAACTGACTAAATTCGCAACAGCTGAAGTTCTGATTATTCTTATTATTTTTTGATACAGCAGATTACTCTTCTGAATTAGACAGTTTTTTTTTCTCTATAAGACGACACATTTTCATGAGACACACTAGAAATATGAAGGAGCAAAGGAAACTTTTCCCGCCGCGAAAAAGTTGAAGGACTACTGAATAAAGAACCTGTTCAATGAGTAAAAACTAGTGATATTTCAGAAATTATGTACAAATCGATATCAATATTCTAGCTTGAACTTGATTATTCCCGAGACACACTCACCTTTTGGACCGTGCAAACACGATAATTGACGCCAACAATGATTCCGTTTGGAAGAGTTTCTTGATGACCCTTAGCCTGAAGGCAAAAAATTGAGACACAAATTATTATCATAAATAAAACGTGACTCCGGTGACAGTAAAAAAAATGAGAAAAAACCAGCGACGAAATTGTTGAAATTATTTTTCTATGTCTGTTGACCAATTTCAAGTCAAAACAAAACACACGCAGCTTCTTTCCCTGCTGATGAACGCCCTTTAATTTAAATAAAGATGGGCTTAGCATCATAAAAAGTCTGCCACTTTACTTTCCGATGTAAATTATAGTAATTGTTTTACAGGAAGAGGTCGGTTTCTCTCTTCGTTGGTAACTTTTTCCCTTCATTACATTTGTTTCCGATAAATTAAAGCAAACGTTGGAGTTTACAACAGCTGTCATAACTTCATTTTTCAACGTGATCCTGGACTAAATTTAAATGTTTATGATGAATAGGAAATAGAGATTTCAAGGGATGGTAGTTTGAGGCATCCTAATTTTAATACAATTTGCTTACACATCGACTCCTTTTTTTTTGCACACCGAGTTTTGTTTGAATAGTAGTAGCAATAATAAAAATGACATGCAAAAATACGAAAGCGATTTGTAAAAAGAAACGAAGAATTTCCTCGTCGATAAAATTCATTTGATTCTCTGTTAACCTTAGTCAGATTTTTCAAGATAGGACGAAAATTAACCTGGACCACACTGAATTCAAGACAAGGATCAAATATGCCCGGAAATAGCAAAGTAAACTCGCGAAGATAAAGAAGTAAGTTTCCTTACGACGTTCGGATCCTGTTCGACGACAGCTGTGACGACACTGGTCATGCCCAAAAGGTGGGCGACCAATTGGGCGGTCGCCGGAACGACGGCGCCGGCATTGATGCCGATTTTCGACACATTCATCAAGGAGCCAACTTGTGACAATTTCAGATTTTCCGCAGCACCTCCAGTCAAATCCGCAAGACCGTCCAGAGCAGTTCCGTACTTCAGGGCTTCATAAGAGCCATGCAATCTTTAGAAAATGAAATATAAATTTTAAGAATATTACAGTCAAATTCCGGAAACAGCTGCTCAAGAAACAGGAAAAAAACTATGAAATTGTGTACAGTATTGTACTGTGAACTTCATCTTTCAGGAAAGAGGATATTTCTGATTCTCAGCGTGAAACCAGGAAAACAGCTCAATCATATTTTAACTAACTGGTGTTGAATATGTGTAAGGTGTTGCAAAAATAAACATTGAAGTATAATTTCTCAGCAAAGATTCTCTCTAAATTGTTCATTCAACTAAACCGCATACAGAAACAAGCTAAAGACCTTGTGCTTTAAATTAATTTTCACTGATATTTTGTATTCAATGTCAGGGAAGGAATGGGTGTATGCATACATGTCAGATGTCCAGTTGTATTTTGTGGATTGCATTCTATTTTTTTTTTGTTATCCATTTGTGCTCTGCTTCCTGCTCTGAAGTAATTGAATGTCTTTGAGTGGATTTGGGTTGGGTGGGGAGGGGGTTTGGATGCGGAAATCTTGATTGAACCTAGTGAACGCTGAAAAGCGGCAAATAAAGTGTTCTGTTCATTCATTCATTCATTCAGTATAATTTGTNTTTGGATGCGGAAATCTTGATTGAACCTAGTGAACGCTGAAAAGCGGCAAATAAAGTGTTCTGTTCATTCATTCATTCATTCAGTATAATTTGTCACGCTAAATAACAAAGTCAAGAATCCAAATTCTTTGAAAACTAATCCTCATGCATCTTTGTGTAAACTGGGAAAACTCAGGTTCACACGCCTACTTTCTCAAAACCTCCACAGTTTTCTTCATTGTCAAATTTCTGGAAATTCTAAAACTGTTATTTATCCTTGAAGGATAGTTTTTCTGTTTTCATCTTCATTCACTACAATTAGCATATCTTCAAGCTCTTGTAAGCAACACTCAAGATCACAAGTTTGTATATGTGCTTGAATTACAAAAACTTTATAATGGGATGAAATTTCACCCCAGTTGCAGCTCAATCAAATTCTTAGTTTAATTTTTCTAAAACGCGATTTATTCTATTTCTGAGTCATTCCTAACATAAGGGACAGATGTCACCTCCTCATCACTAAAATTGCGGTTATTAAGTAAGTCACAACAAAAACCCTCCAACAGGGAATTTTCCACATTGCGCAATTTGTATGCTGTCCTCCATTTTGGAATTGAATTCAAAACAACTCTAAGTTTTCCTGGCATTGAGTTCGGTTCTTGCTTCATTTCAATTGTCTTGTGAATTTAAATCCATTTTTCTTCCTTTGTGCTGTGAATCAAATTATCTTATTTTTCTTCGAGATTCTGCCAAGAATCCCCTGCAAAGTTCCATGGCAGATCGCGTGTTTCCTTGCTAGACTGCTTGGCAAAAACCTTCATTTTTTGTCTTTGTGGATTGTGTACCACATAATGTACTGTGAATCTTTTTAAAGGCAGAATGTGCGACTTCAAAAAATGAGCTAAACTTAAAGTCATTGAATTAATTTCTATTCACACCTTCAGCGTTCATGCTTTCAAGTGAATTGGCACGCGAAAATGAATCTGATATACTTTCAAAAAATTTGTGCGTGCAATTTTTTTAGCAGGGTTTAAACTCAGGCTTGTTTCCGGACATAACATGGTCAATGCGCACCGAGTTTACTGAGCGCTTATAAGTCGGCCTGCACTGAACCTTTAACAAGTCACTGTAAAGTCTGATCGTTCTTTTTTTATAGTAATTTTGCTTTTGGAATATTTTTGAGAGGATGAAAGAGAAATGAGGGAAGATCCCAGAAGCGATCGTCTTCAGCTGTATGACGTCGAGCATATCCACGCATCCATAATTGGCAGAAATTGAAATTTCGATTACGCATTTTATTACAGCACATAATATGACGAAATTATTCAAAAGGGAGGAAATTATAATCGTCACTCGAATGTAAGTCGTTATTATCACGGTAGTTTCTGTTGCGACTACTTATTGTTTACCTAATAAGTGTAGCTAACTGGAACCTTTTACACTTACTAAGGCATCTCAATACTGGTGAAGTTGCACTTTAGAACGCCAGAAAAGGTGAGACCAAGTGAATTCTTCGCAAGAACTAGAAAGTAAAGCTAATCTTTTAAACCTTCAACGAAAAATATAGAACATATTTTGGCCATATTCTCTGCTTGAATTTAGAGACCAATATATCTTCAGAACACGAAATATTCACGCTCGACGAATTTAAAGCTGCATGAATCGCTGTTTAGTGTCATCTGATTCACTCTTTCGACTGAATACCTTTACAGGTGTCCAAAAACAACCTTGAATACGAAAAGTTCAGCGTTCTTTCCCGCGGGTTGAAAGCATATTCAGGTTAAGAATGATTCGACGAATTTTATTCCCTCTTCTTTCACGTAACATGTTTCCTTTGAAACGATTAAATACCTTAGATTACCCGAAATATCCACGTATTTCCTGGTCCCAGTATCGTGAA